ACCCTCTAATTCTGCTTTTGTTGAACTCGCGTGCAGACGGACGAGATCGACACGCTGGTCACGTGAGAGATATCTTTTTTTGTTAGGTGTGTGTCTCTTTCAAACGACAGATTTGGGTGAGGCTGGAGAAGCCCGTCAAACATTGTGGGGAGAGAAGCAAAAAGTCTGTCCAATGCAGGAGCACATGCACGTGCAGGGAGTTTAATCCGCGAGGCGAGACTAGTGTAATTTGCCTTTGATTGCTCTGTCTTTCTGTCTGTGTGAGAGAATGCTGAGCGGTATTAGAGTCCTGTGTGCTCTAAACACGTACAGGGATGAGAATAAACAGCACGGTTCTCACAGGGCGGAATACAAACTGCCCCACTGTGGGCGCCTTATTATTATTACTGCTTTCAGCTGGGACACAATGCACTCTTCATAAAGCTTTGGAGGGAAAGTGGGATCTTTGGGATCAGACTTCATGTTGTTGCTGACTCTAATTCAGCAGTTACTGATACTTTGCACCATTTATAAGTCATTTACTTAGGCTTCAGGTATCAGTTAGGGGTGGGAAGTATCTAAGTACATTTACTCAATACTGTACTTAAGCACAATTTAGACTTTGAGTATTTTCATGTTATGCTACTTTGTACTTCTACAATTCAGTGGCACATTGTGTAGGCTACTACATTTATTGAATACCTTTAGTTACTTTGCAGATTTTGATCAATAATGTAAAATAAAATCATCACATAAATCAGACTTTAGTTACGCCTGGAGTAACATTCATAATCTACCATGCAGTATACAAAGTAATTAAAACTAGCTGCACCTTTACCAGCTTTGATAAACACATTAATTGCATCAAAAATTATAATAATAATTGTCAGTTTTCGGAATCTCCATTTACTGTTGACGCATGCGAAAAAAATGCAATGTAACACTGGTGAGTGTTGATTCTCAAATGATTATTTGTTGATGAACTATCCCTTTCACTTTCTATGTTTCACTTTGTAAGAGAAAGACAATCTCTCTCCGGTGTTATTAATACTTCAACTGTCATCTTGTCTTAGAGAGAAACTATAACGTCTTCCCACAACATGTCAAAAATGTATTTAATCAATCATTTATAGTCTTGTGCAAAGTTTACACGAAAACAACAGGTCTGATACTGGGTCTGCCGAGCAACAATATGAGGGATGTGGCAAGTGGCATTTAGATTTTTTTCTGTAACAATATGTAACCATTAACAGAAAGTCTGAAAAAAAAATGCTAATTAAGGATAAGAGGGGGAGAAATACCCTCTCCAGGATCACAACTGATCTAAAAAGCTATATTTTAAGATGTATTGCCCGTCAGTCACATCTCATGATCTCTTTGCTAAGATGCCTGACTTAAAAGAATTATACAATAAATATTTAACGCATTACAAGGGCTGATATCTTTTTGCTGTAATGTCCTTAATTAATCAGAGAATAACGTCTCCTTATCGTTTGAGACAGGCCTGACTGTGTCTAACTATATGCAAGCTGCTCGACTAGATTGTGTACATTCAGGTGTCTCCTATTTGACTTTCTGTGGCAGATGGGTTCTTTATAGAACATGTCAACTGATATTAGCTTCTACTGCAAGGCAAGTGTTGCCCCTGAAAAGCTGTGTGAGGGG